CCCATCCCCAAGTATATACGTGTGTACATATGTACATATGTGTGTGTGTGTGTGTGTGTGTGTGAGGATTGTGAACATATTCCACCAAAATAATTTGCTATGAAGGCTAGATTGTTCAAATAATAGTACTCCTCATAGTTGCCCAAAACTGGAAACACCCAAATGCCCATCAAGAATAGAATAATGTGTTGAGATGAATTCACAATTCATACGACAGGGTACAAAATACAAGATGAGATGACCTACAGCCACAGGCAAGGACATGGATGACATTGGCACAGCCACACAGAAAAGAGAACATGCTGTAGGGTTCCACTGATATGAAATACAAAAACAGATGAAAGAGAGAGAGAAAGAGAGAGAGAGAGAGAGAGAGAGAGAGAGTGTGTGTGTGTGTTAGAAGACACTGGTTCCCTTTAGAGTAGGGTGGCAAGGAGAGTGACAGGAGCCCCCTGGAGCAGTTTCAGAGGCTCTGATCTGGGTGCTGGTCACGTGGGTGTGTTCAGCTTGAAAACGTCACTCAGCTGTGCACCCACATGTACTTTACTGTATGTATTAGACTTTTGAAATTTTTAGAAGGAAAATTACAGAGAGAGCACTGTGTGTTGTGCAGAGACAATAACTCACGGATGTTGTCAGCAAGAGCCATAGAGCCTCGACTTCCCAACTCCTGCACTGGGGTTTCTGGATCTACAATATGTGACAGCGTTCTTGGGGGACTGGGTAAAATTAATGTCTGAAAACATCCAGGTGCTTCGTGTCCTCTGTGAAAGGAGGCGCCACCTCACACTGCCATTGGGGATTTTCTGATATTTTGATTGACGTGAACGTGGGGTTAATGTTGGAGATTGAAATGTTATTAAATGTCATCTTTAATGTAGCTTCCTTCCTCAAGTATAAAGATTTGAAGAAAGAAACCAACTATTGTCTCTCTTTTAAATCTTCACTTTCCTTGCAGCAAGGTAATTCAAACATCACTGATGGCTCATTAATTAAACAGCTTAAAAGAAGAACTTAGGGCTTGTGAGGAAAATTATTCAAATGCAATTTTGAGATCATTAACACTTGATGTGCTTTAGCAATGACTCACCTATCCAAAATTCAGCTATCCGTAGACTCATCTTTTCAAAATCCAGTTGTGAATCCAGAAGAAAGGAAAATCTGAGCTGCCAAAGATGATGTTGAATTAAAAAAAAAAATTATTCATTGAACCTGAGTAATGTTATACCATGAGAAAGCCTATTTGTACTTTCTCAGCCGATTAACTTTTACTTTACAAACAATTCCAACAAGTGAATGCCTAACTTCCCAGCTACCGAGGGTAGCTAGAGGGAAGTGGTGGCTGCCACCAGGGTCTCTATGACTTGAGAAGGGAAGTTTGCCCTAACCCTACCTGGCAGGACAAAACTGGAAAATGCTAAAATGCACCTGACCTAGAAAGCTAAAACTTTGTACAGGGAAAATCAGTTGGAGACATCTCAAAAGACCTTGGAGATCATCACAGTGGAATAATGAATGAGAACAAGAGGTGAGCCATAAAGAAAGCGAAGGTATATTGGTTTTTCTAAATTTTCATTCAAAATGGTTCAAATAAATGTACTGAAATTAAAATTCAGAGGAGCAGAGCTTTCACTTTGGGAGGCCCTGACCCAGTTGGCGTGGGCTTGAGTCCAGAGCCTTCCTTTCCGTCTTTCAGGGAAGAAGCAGCCGGCCGTGGCCGGGAGGTCTCTGTGCTGCTCCATCTCGCTCTCCATTCTTCAGCAGACTCCAGAAAACTCCCCTCAAAATGTTTTCTCTAGAACTTTTCTTTCCAACTTGTCCTTAAGGACAATCAGTTCATTTATTTAAAAAGAGAGAGGAAAACGAAATTTGTGTTTTTATGCCCCTGAGGACCTGAGGTCGCATTTATTCTAAATTTCTCAGTCATTTGAGATGTCAAATGAATCAGAGACCTAGAACTCAAATGCCTGGACTCTGGCTTCTGAAATGCACCAGCGAGGCCTCCTGTGGGCAGGGGGATGCTGGAGGAGCACTGGGTGGAAGGGACGCTCCCCTCAACCAGGCCTGCGTTCAGAGTCCCAGGCCGTGCTGCAAGCAGCCGGCCAGCATCTGCCCTCCCCTTCCGGGAGGCTTACCACAACAAGCGGCTGCAGCAGGCTGTGTAGGTGGCACTGGGCTCCTGTCCTTTCACAGGTGCTCACCCTCCCAATTTCAAGCACCCGGGAAAGCACTCTGAAGTTTGCCATTTCCTCATGATGTGAAGGGGTGGCGTGGAGCAGGCTGCCTTTGGCTGTCCCTCTGGACCAGAGCAGGGAGGTGCAGAACTTACGGAGCTACATGCTGGCCCATCAGAAGACCACACAGGCAGTAACGTCCTGGGCCCTGCTGCCATCAAGCCATGGGGTCCCCAGTACCTGGGGCAGTCACGACTTTGACCTGGGTTCCTGCCCTTTCCCTGCAGGGAAATTAGCCCCTGACTCTACAGTTGCTGTGAGAGTAGGCAAGTGCCATGACTAAGCCCGTGGCTGGTGGACCCTCTGACACCGAAATTATTCTGGATGATAAGAAAAGAACTGCCAAGATGAAACGATTATTCAGAAACTTGTAAAGAGAGAAGATATGAAAGAGAGAGGAATTCTCTCAGGTACCCCGATGTCCATTTGCCAGTGATTAGTGCCAGTTGGAAGATGGGGGCATTGAGCATGGGAGCTCTGGCTCTGGCCGCAGTGTGCATGGGTTCAGATCTGGCCACCAACACTCAGCTGTGACCGTGAGCTGATTAAATGTCTTGTCCATTGTCAGTTCCTCATTGGTGAGAGGGGGTCATGGTCTCCTCTTTGAGTTTTTTTGAAGGGAGCATAGTGGTTTATCAGTGGGCTGCCCTGGGCAGGGTGGTAACAAAGCACAACCCAATTCTTTCTTTCCCATGCCTTTTCAGCCCTGCTCTGCCCGATCTTCTTCCCACCCCCTAGACGAAATCCCCCCAGACTAAAGCTTCCCCAGCCATTTTCAGACATTACCAGACATTTTCAGAAATGATCAAGCCCAGAAATCTAAATTTGGATTCAGTCTCTTCTGACTTAAAGCCTGGCCATCCACCACAGCTGGGCTGTGACCGAGGGCTCACTCACCCACGGGGAAAGGCAGCGGAGGTGGCCTTGCTCACCATTTCTCCCCTTCCCATCCCTCCCCCCCCATTCTCACACCTCAGGGGGCAAGGGCAGGAAGCAGAGGGCTGAGCAGAGGGGCCTTAGGAGACTGGTGCGTGGCCGTCTCCTGTGGGACTGGCCAGGCTCCCAGGGCTGGCTCTTCCTCACGGTGCTCTGTGGGTCCTCTGGAGGCCCCTCGCCCTCCCTGCACAGACCCTCTGAACAGAGTCTCCTTCAAAATGACCAAGCCCGGCTGCTCCCACCTCACTGTGGCTGACAGCACGCAGGTGTCCTTCCTCCTCCGTCCAGCTCCGGCCCTTCTTCATGCTCTGCCTTAGGGACCCTGCACACTGCACCTGTCCTTTGGGTAGAGGCCTGGCCCTCTCTCCTTTGCACTCTTGGTCTCGTGGGCCCGGAGGCTCTGCAGTGGGACCCGTTCTGGACATTTGGGGTGTTTAGAGATGTCCTCCCAGAAGTAACAATAAAAATGACCCCTAAAGGACAGAACACCCCCAAGCCCAGTTGTAAACCACCAGTGTAGACTGTCCCGGGCAAGTGTTAGTCAAAAAGTTCCGTGTTTCCCAAGTTCCAGGAGACAATGGAAGCGCCCTGAACACTTGGCTCAGGAAACTGAGCCTTGACACTGCCCTCCCTCTAAACACTCGCGGTCCGTTTTCACCGTCATCCGTCTTCTCTGTCATAACCCGGGAAGATAAGGAAGACGAGCCAAGAGTGGCAAAGGTGGGTTGAGGCCACTCTCAGGAATCCTGCACAAATGGCCTTTTTTATTAGATCAGGGAGGTGTTGGTCAGCATTCGGACTCCACTTTTATTGCAAGAGGACACACATCAGTCCAAGAACGCTGCAGCAACAGAAGGGGGCTGATGACTCTGAGATCCAGAGACGACATGAACCATTGAAAACAAATGAATGTGGCACTGAGAAAATGCACTTAATTAGAAAAGCAAATAGCTCAAACCTACACGGCTTACTTAATAAAGTTACATTTTGGGGAAGGACCCAGGTGAAAAGGGCTGGATAGCAGCTCCGTGTCCTCCTAAGGTTCGGAGTCATGTGACTCTACAGGGGTTGAAAGTCATATGACACCTCCCTTCTCACCCCCAGCCTTTCTTCCCTTGGATGAATGGGGCACAAAAGCCCTTGGCCAGAACAGAAGGAGAAAAGGGTAGCATTGCAGTTCGGATCTGGAATGTCCCCCAGAGGTTCCTTGTTGAAGTCGTGGTTCCCAATGCAGCAATATTCAGAAGTGACTTAGAATGTGATTGTACCCTAAGGGAATCTGACCCCAATGGATTAACCCATGGATGAGTTCATAGTTGAAGGAAATATTGGGAGGTGGTGGAAACTGTAGGATGCTAAGCCTAGTTGAAGGAAGTAGGTCACGGGAGCATGTCCTGGAAGGATCTTATCCTTGGCCGGCCTC